TCCCTCCAGCCTACACTCCCCTCCACAATCGACGAAATCCGAGGCCTGGTGCTCTACAGTAGTACAGTAGCAGTACAGTAGCAGTACAATAGTAGTAGTGCTGTAGTACAGTAGTAGCACTGTATTAGTGCAGTAGTACAGTAGTAGCAGTACAGTAGCAGTACAGTAGTAGTACAGTAGTAGTACAGTAGTAGTACAGTAGTAGTACAGTCGTAGTACAGTAGTAGTGCAGAGTTGTAGTAGAGTAGTATAGTAGTAGTAGTACGGTAGTACAGCAGTACATTAGTAGTACAATAGTAGTCCAATAATAGTACAGTAGTACTACAGTAGTGCGGCACAGTACAGCAGTAGTACAGCAGTACATTAGTAGCACGGTAGTAGTACAATTAGAAGGTTTAGGGATACCTAAAGCTGTGTAGCGGGGTCGGGGCTTGGTGTCGAGCTGTTGGTTAACCCGACCCCGCCCCGGCCATCCGCGGAGAACCGCAGACCCTTCATCCAAGCCAGCCGACAAACCCTGGGATCCCCCAAATTCCTTCTTAGTCAAAGCCACCCAGACCCAAAGCCAACCCAAGAGCTCCCAATCTACCGAACCTTGATCCAGCGGGTCACGGATCCCAGATTATTCAAGTCAGAACCTTTTGGTGGGGAGGAGGAGGGGGGGGGGCGAGAGGGCCCTCTATTAATCGAGCCGCCACATTACCGCTTTGGATCATGTCGCTTCCCAAATCTGAGAGAATACCAAGAGCCAAGAAAGTTTGATCAGGATCTGGAGTACACTATGCCGGAGTTGATGACGAGGCGAGTCGGGTGAGGCTCTGCGTAATCTCTTGACCGGAAAGATCGCCGGGAGCGCATGCTTCACCCGCTGGGCCAAGGGGGAAAACCTGAACAGCAGCTCTTTGCAAAATATGCTTCAGTCGGGGGCCTATACCCCGTGCCAACACCAAACTACCGGCTTGATTCCAAACTTCAGGGGACCGCAAACTCGATGAACCCACTTCTAGGGCAAAACAGAATCCCAAATAGACCACTAACAGCACGCTAAACCGTGACGATTACATGCCTGTGACTTATGTACTTACCTCAGGGTTGAGGGCGCAGGGCCTGAACATCCCTCGATGCCCTACATGCCATTCTTATCCGAGTGTGTTTGGGGTGTAAATCATGCGGATGCATGCATCAATAAACGCAAATGCGAAGGTGTGTAAATAAATAAATAAATTAATTAATATATATATATATATGCATACCTACGTAATTAGGTACGTAGGTACGCACACACACACACATGCAAGCATGTATACTGTATGCATGTATGTATGCACGCACGTACGCATATATATATATATGTCTGTGTATAGCTGTATGCATGTGCGTCTGCAGGTTTGTAACCATGAACGGATGTATGAATGACTGAAGGAATGCCTGTAAGTAGGGATGTATGATGATGTATGTGTGTATACATGCATGCATGTAGGTATGTACGTATGCATGTATGCATGCATGCATGTATGTGTGTGTGTGGGTGTGTGTATGTATGTACGTATGTACGTACGTACGTAGGTATGTATGTAGGTATGTAGGTATGTATGTATGTATGTATGTATGTATGTATGTATGTATGTGTGTATGTTTGCCGTTATGTGCTTCATAACGTAATGTAATGTAGTGTAGTGCAGTGTAATGTACTGTAATGTAGTGTAACGCGGTGTAGTGTAACGTAATGTAATGTTGTGTCATGTGGTGTAGCGTAGTGCAATGTAGTGAACGAAATGTAACATATGTAGGCATAATATACGTATATGTGAATGTATGTGCATGCATAAATGCATGCATTCATGCGCATGCATTACCTGTCTCTGTCTATACATAATATAACTAAACATTTAGCAACACTGTAACAGCCGGTGTGATGGCAGCGTCGTGGGAACGACAGCTAGAGCTGCCTTGCTGAGAAGTGTCCCTGAAGCAAATAAGCCTGCCCATCTGCGTACCGCATTATCGGTTGTCATAACGGTGTCAGCAGGAATTTCAATGTTCGTGAGAATGGCCCGTCATGCTCATTAATGACATCCACGACAATGCCAGTGCGTACCTGACCAACAACACTGCTCAGCGTCTTCATCACTAGCACTATCAACAGCAATAGTCAACAACGATGGATAAAGCCCATCAACATGCGAAGGACCCTACCGGCATGGCTGATTGTCAGCAAGCTTCTGAATTACTTGGATGGTAATGTTGAACATGGCCATAGCAAGGCCCCCTCAAGGCTTGGTCTCTGGCTTGTCTTCCTCAGCATTGGCAAAATAGTTCACGACCTCCAAGAACAGCGCGTTTAGAAGCTGAGCTGAGTGCGTGGTCCGATTCAGGGATGAAGTGAATCCTAATAGGACTTCCCAAAAGGAGGGGCCCCAGTGTGGACGAAGCCTTCCAAAGCTTCAGCTTTTACTTACAAGCTTTATGGAACTTTACTTTTTTGGGGGTTCCTTGCTGGTGGAGAGAAATCTCTTGCAAGCTACTATGCACTCGCAGCCTCAAGAGTACAGACACCCCGGATGTGCCGAGCCCCAGCTTCAGATTCTACTTCCAAGAAGTAGACAGGCAAGTGGATTCATCAGTCGGAGGCAAACGGAAACAAGGTGAAAGGACAAACCAAAGCTACCAAGTTCTCGAAATAAATGTGCGAGATACGGGCATATGGTCACAGCATGTCACAGCTGCACGCTGTGCGCATGTAATGGCTGCATGGATAAAAGCCAAGCCCTGCTCTGCGACATTCCGAGCCTCTGCCTTGAACTGTTCGCCGGTCTCAGCAGGCAGTATGTGGTGAAGAGGATTCGGCACAAGAAGCTAAGCGTGATGCAACCAAGACTGGCACTCGCGCTTTGGATTGAAGCGTTGTCCGCTCTACTGTTGTGTTGGGGAGGAGCATGATGGAGGCGGAGGAGCACCGGCAGATGGGGACGACACAACACTTCGCCGCAGGACAGCCTTCTTTTCTTCCGAGCTAAACCTTCTTGGGTCTAAGCCTATGGACATGACGTGAGCCCAATGAACAGAACATCGTACATGGCCCGGCTTAGAAAAAAACTGGTGCAGCCATGCTGGACACCTTGATCGATTGCAGCTGTAGACAGACCCTCAGGCATCGGCCAAGCTCAGTGTGTCCATGATCCGGGCAGTATCTACCTGCCCATCACCGGCAACGCAACTTTCCTGGCCCTGAACACTAAACCCTGGAACACTAAACCTGAAACCCAAAACCCTAGGCCATAAACCCGACCTGGACTCAGCAGGAGAAACGACGAATAGCTGGGCAGGCAACCTGAAAACCTCGTCCCCCGCACTAGTCTCGCATGCCCATCTTCCTCTGTAAGCCCGAAATGAATGGCAATACATCGAAGCGCCAGAGTTCGTCCTTCAAATCCCATACTCGCAGGCTGCATCTTTCGATTCTCCGCAGGCGTTATAGAGTCTAGCGGAACTGGTCCGACTCGGCTCAACGTGACTAGAGTTTGGGAGGTCGGTGGGTGAGAGTAGCGAGGATACCCTATAGGGGCTGGAGTCACTAACCTGAAATCTGCCATTCCGGACTGTCTACAGCAGTCTGGCTATGGAAGGCTTGCAGGGCTTGAGCATCTGCAACATGATCCCTGGCATTCAAGTCGTAGCGTGCCAGGGCAACAAGGCACTGTATGAGGCCGCTATCAATCCGGCCACCCCTTGTGTGGGAATCTCCTCCAATCAGGAGCCACATGCCAAAATCCCACAACTCAAGTCTAATGAACAGAAACTCCACAAACCCCAATCTTGGCCAGGCTGCCATTTTTCGCTGGTAGGCCGCGTAGTCTTTGTCCACCTGAGGGAACGATCAGGACGGCAAGGTTGAGGCACGGGTACATTCGGGGCATCTGTTCATGTGGCCTCTAATAACGATCTGATATAGTGTTGGGCTTGAAGCTTCTGATTCGGTCCGCGTTTTGTCAGGGTAGGCTTCAGAGAAAAACCCTGAACGATTAGAGGCAAGGTCCCCGGCCATAGTCCTGAACGAGTGAATGCAATCAATGCATCAAATCGTCGTCACCGCGCCCATGAACTGCTGTGCTTCAGAGAGGTACAGTTCCGGCAATTCTAGCATCTGCTGAGAACGTCTTCATGCTCTCTGATGGTTATTTAACCGCTTTAAGTCTGTCGCTATGGGTTGAACATGCTATTGCGGAGGACACCTGCGACATGGTAGTTGAGGGGAGAGCTAGCAGTGGGGCGAAGCCGCCAAAATCGCTTCGATTGCAGGCTTGGTTTTGCAATGGCGACTCACCATGAACCAAATTGTGGACCGACACCATGTTCCTACACTTCATGGCCCACGTCTCAACAAGCGGTGCTGGGAAGAAGGCTGCAGGTCAGGGGTTCGGGCCATACGGTTATGGCTTATATGCCCTAACACTCTTTGACCTCTGCAAGGCTTGCTCGTCCAAGCCACAGTTTTCGCTTTGGTAGAAGCGTCGTCTGCTGCTGCGTCGATCTGGCTGGTGCAGGGATTCGCCGAACGTCTTAGACAGGAGCGGAATGGCAGGAAACGGTTCACAAGGTGTTTGTCTGCCGAGCAGTGGATGTGTTACACGAACAGCTCCAGACGAGTCCCGAACCCTCATCCCGAATCAATTGTGCCTGAAGCGTCTGGTTTTATGTAGAAAACTTGCCGGGCAAGCAGACTCGACCACCTTGTCCAGCTCATCGAAGCCTGCCAGAGGGTTTCGCTTTCTCGGTCCGCATTCTTGGGATGTTGTAGTTTAATTCTGGCGCATTTCATGGCCGCGATCCCGTAGCTAGACTTAGACCTGGACCACATATGGCTCAATTGGTCAACCGGGTATCGTTGATTCGGCAGTTTGGCTCCTTTCCTGAATGAAGGGATCATCCGAGAACCTTACAAGCCCTGAACCCTCAACCCAAAATCCGAAACAGAAATGCACGCCGTACTCATACCCTGCCTTCAGTAGCCGTATGGTACACGTACTTGGCTTCACCTCGCCAAATCTCCGACTTCGGGGAGGCTCTGGGGCGTGGGGTGGATTTTGCACAACCCTAAGACAGCCCGGTTCAGAGGGATCTCAAACCCTAACCATTCTGTACTATTACTGTACTACTACTGTACTAATGTACTAGTGCTCTACTACTACTGTACTACTACTGCACTACTGCTGTACTACTGTACTACTACTGTACAAGTGCTGTACTACTGTACTTCTTCTGTTCTACTACTGTACTACGACTGTACTACTGCACAGTACCAGGCCTCAGATTTCGTCAATTGTGGAGGGGAGAGTGTAGGCTGGAGGGAAACGTCTTCAAAATGAAACGGTTTTAGTGGTGGTAGTTATCTTGGAGTGATCGGGGCTTGATTTCGAGCTTCTGGTTATCCCGACCCCGACTCGGCCATCCGCGGAGAAGCGCAGACCCTCCACCCAAGGCAGCCCAGAAACCCTGGGATCCCCCAATTCCGTTCTCAAAGCCCCAATCTACCGAATCTTGGTCCAGGTTCTTGTGCTTCTGGGTCAAGCATTACTGTGTGGGGTTTGAAGCATAAGCGCTGCTATGATGATGCATTGCTTGCGTCCCGGTGTAGACCAGAAGGATTCGGACCTTCGAGGGCTCTGAGTCACTGAGGGCACAACGATGGACAGCTGTCAAATCGGTCGGACAGCAAGGATACCGGCCGAACAACATGGGCCAGGGATCCTTCCTTGTCCCAACCATGCGGCCACCTACAGGCAGTACCCGAATTTCTAACCTTCAACCCGGAATCGGTTACCGACAAGCATGCTTCCAAGCCGAGCTAGAGGCTTGGAGCGGGCGGTATCAAAGTGGCAGATGCCCGCAAGATCCCACAACTGCGGTTCAGTTCTGGTTACCTTGCCTCGACACAAAAACATCCTAAAGATAAACGGCATTAACTGCGATTCGCTCAAACAGAAACCCATTGGAGTACCGTACTACTACCGGAGACGACGACCATGCTTCTGACAAGTCTTCCTCTCGTGAGTAAGGCTGCCTCTTGCTAATGAAAGGCTGCTACACTGTTTTAGCATCTACCAATCTACCAACTATGCATCCCTAAGCACCCGACCAGAAGCCGTACCCCAATAGTCCACATGTTGCGAACACTGTCGTTGCTAGTACGTGATGGTTTTGGGGGTCAACAGATAATTCTGAACAATGTCGAGCAACCATGGTTGCGTCCGGCTTCGGATTTTGAAGCCCCGCCCTTCAGGGGGTTTTGGTTTCAGGTTTGGCAATCTCGGGCCCTGAAGGCTCTAGCACCGGGCTTTGGCACTCCGTTTACCGGTGCAGGTTTTATGGCTTATGCCACCACATATGCCGTCTCGGTTGGCAAATGGGGTACAAGTGTGTGAGACTACAAAACTCTTCAGGTCCCCAGGAGACTCTGCCTTGGGAGCCGACTGCAGCGCTTGAAGTTGGGTGAGGGGTGGGCCACAGTTTCATCTTCGGCGTTGGGGCTAGAGGGTTCGGAGAGATGCAGGCCTTTTGAGATGTACCGTCGGTTTACATAGGGCTTCGTGAGATATCTGCTATCGAGTTTGCCACAGTTTCACCATGTCCATTTGTGCACTGAGTACAACAAAGACAAGAAGCTGCCAGAACTCAGGTCTTGGGTTTACCACATGCATCAACAATCCTTGAATGACAGGTAGCCCAATCGAAACCTAAATGCCTTGACACTCCCAAAAGCACGTACCGGAGGCTGTGTCGGGAGGTGCTGCAAACCCGAAACAGCAAGCCTTCAAGCTGAAACCCCTTGTTCCCGCAACCGAAACCTTTGGCTTGGGAGACCCGGGCCTGGTTGTCTTCGCCGTTGTCCTCGCCCACGCCCTTCTCCTGCGCGATTATGCATCCATACGGCTTCATGCATCACCAGCCCAGCTACGAGTATCTTTAGCCGTCATGTTTGCAGAGTTTAGGAGTCTAATTCAGGGCTAAGGTTTAGGCTTGACCAGCTTCAATGTTTCAGTCTATATACAGTTTAAACTTCGGCGGGCATAGGGTCCAGGATTCGTGGTGCAGGCTGAGTGTTCAGGGTTAGAGTTTAAGCTTCAATGCTGAGGGTGAAATTTATAGGATCCCTGTTCTGGTTTATAAGGTTCTGTCGGGATCTGGAGTGATCTAGCAAGCTGCATCCTAAGTGGACTTGGATCCTGAAGGAGCGAGCCTTTATCGAACCCAAAGGACCACAAGGCCTGTACTGAGCATTTGCTGGTTTGGCAGGGTATGATTGAGGTCAGCATTTAGGAGAAGATGAAAGGCAACCCAACACAGAGTTCCCAAGTTCCCAGAGAGCTAGCGTCCCCGCCCCCCCCCCCCCCCCCCCGGCATGGTCTGCTACGAAGTCGGCTCTATGTTGCTCGCGCTTAAGTCTCACATCTCTCAGCAGAAGTTTGGGAGCGGGGGGAGGACGGCACTGCAAGTCCCTGAACCTGCGAAAGTTCGTTTTACTACTAAGAGGCAGATGTGCATTTGCGGTCCTCGCCGCTCTCACCCGTGTCATCCTCGCCCTTGCTCTTCTCCTTGCTCTTTGCCTGTTGGCATCAGCAGAGTCAGCAGAGGCCCTTGCCTCACTGGTTTGGCGAATTATGGAGTTTCGCTTAGACCCGAACTCTATCCCTCTGTACTTGGATGCCTGATTGCTCGTTCCCTCTTCTCGAATCCAAAGCTCGTGCCTTCTCCGAGTCTTCGTCGCTCTCGCCGTCGTCGTCATGTTGCCTCCGACGGGTGCGAAAGGAGCCAGAGAGAATATAAAGCAAGACTCCGAAGCCAAGCCGGTGCTTCCTAAATCCGAGACCTTAAGCCCCAAAAGCACCAGAATCCCAGGATCGCTGACCTGGAAGCCATGGAATGCTCAGCTCCCTGGAGCTCGAGGCCTGTCGGACAGAAGCTTAACGCTTAGGCTGGCTTGGCCAGTCCTAGGTTGAGAATAAGGACTGATAGAACTTCTCCAGGTTTGGGGCTTGAGTTTGGGGCGGTTCGGTTAGGGCTCAGGGTTTACAGGCTGTTGCCGTGTCCAGGGTTCATCGGCTCCAGAAGCACCCAAGGTCTGTCTAATGCTGCATATTAAGGGGCGTGCGAAGATCATGGGAATGAGATCGGTCAAGGGAAGCCAGAAGTGGAGGATGGTCCAGGGACGGCGCTTCGGGCTTCGCGGCAGGTTCGTTCAGGCTTGATTCAAGATTACAATTATGGGGCCTTCAACAGTGGAGGTTTTTGGACTGAGAAGAAGTGAATAGCGGAGAGCTTCGTGTTAGTCTCGACCCTAGACAGCCTAGACCTCCTCAGCTGCAGCAAGCGGTGAACACAGCAAAGTCATAACAACTAGCAACAGCAGCCCATAGCTATAGTTGTAATACTGGTCAAGCCTGACTCGTTCAAGTTACGAGACAAAAAGCCAGGTATTATTTTTACATCAACGATACGACTGGCAGCAGGATCTCCGCGCAATAACGTCCCGGCATGACAGAAACCTGACCAGAGTGTGATGTCCAGCTCTCTCGCGGTACGGAGGAGACTGCTTCTACCATTCATGGATGGAAGGTTGAGTCTAGCCTAGCAAGACAGTCAGCCTGTCTGGAGGTGTAGAAAGTAACATGCCTGCACCAACCTCTCATGTTCCCTACGGTGTGAAACTTCTGTCTGGCCATTCGACTCAGCAGAATGCTGTGCTCTTACCTCTGTGGCAGTAGTCAGAGCAAGGCTGTACATGTTTCAAGCCAAGCAATGTTCGTATCAGAACCACATGAAGGCAACATGCCGTCGATGTAATGAAGTGACATCAGTCGAAAGGAAGTGCAGTGCAGGTACATGCAGGTACAGTAGTAGATTTCGAAGGTGCTGCAATGCGCTACACTAATGTGAGCAACATCGGTCATCTGGGCTTACATGCAAACAAAGATGCATGCAAGCTAGAGTGAGGGAGACTACAGCAGCTGAATGAATGTAGTCGAGATGATGGCAAGCTTCAGCTTCTGCTTCAAGAACACAAGGAGCCGACTCACGCAGCGCAGCATTTCATGCATGCCGACAAGCCAAGCAAGCCGAGGAGGTATAGTGCTAGTTACTGCTAGATGTGGGAATTTGACGAAAACGTTGCTGCATGTTGCTGCCATTGTACCTGCTACCATACCAGTGGTTGCAAAATCGGCAGTTCAATCGCACTGACATGATCAGAGCAGAAGCCAGCTGCCTAAAGCTGCCTGTTCGGAAATCAACCTCAGTTTGTCGGTTGATGACAAGCTAAAAGCCACGTAACCTGGAGTTGGCCAAGCATGTCCATGCGCGTGCCACTGCCCTGGACGTAAGCCACAGCGCCTAGTGTTTCTCAGAGCAAGACAACAGGCAAGCGAAGGAGATCTGAAGTGCAACCTTCATATTTCTCTGTTGGGATTCCAAACTAGCAGCTCCTTAACCCTAAACCCTCCTCGGCGCAGTCGTCTTTGCGATGCTATTGAAGGGCCCTCAGAGGCAGACCGGCAAGGAGGCTCAGTCCTCGAAAGGGTCTTCGACCAGACCGGAGCTAAACTCCTATGTGGTCTTCTCAGGCTCTAGAGTTTAATCGGCGTTCGCTTGAGGTTGGGCGAATCTTGAGTGAATGCACGAGATCTTCAGATCTGGCGCTCTGAGTGAGCCCGAACCAATTGCCCAGTATGGCATGGGTGAACCACATACAACGCACCGAGCAGTTAGATATTTAGCATATACCGCGTCAGAGCAGTCAGATCAAGAAGAGAGGGTTGCCACCACAACCGGCTAGCTAGAATTGCAAGATTGCCAACTTCCTCAATAGCTGCCTAAGTGGAAAAATCAGCCGAAACAACCCGGCAACAAACTAGTTGACGAAGCAACGATCTGGGGAGCAGCTTGCCTGGGAGCAACGCAACGACCTAGGAGAAGTGCACTAACTTGGCTGTAAATTTATAGGTATGAACAAGCAACATGCTATGGAATTGAGGACTATGGGCCTGCACGTTGGAAGTATTTTGTCAACCGAAGAGCGAACTGCTTGACGAGCCAGGGGCGAAACCGAATCAGCAAGGACTGCGGACCATGACGAGGATGCCGGGCAGTGGCAAGTCTGAATTCGAGCCGGGCTTGCCCAACTCGGCTAGGCCCAGAGAGGAACCGGGTCGAGGGTTGAGGGCCTGGAGACAAGCCTCTATGGGGTCGCGTTTCGGGAGGCTTACCACAGAAGTGTTACTAACAATGGATGCCAAGCTCAGGAGCAGAGCCCGAATGACAACCACCACAACCACAATGAGCTTCACAAACACCAAGCAAACAAAAAACACGGATTCCTTTGCAGGCGAGTGTCCCAGCCTCGTCTCCTCCCCCGTCGCTCCTCGCGGTGGTCCTGGCAAGTGTTTGCACGCCTATGAACAGGACAAGGCGCCAAATACCCCCGTGCCCTACTCTCCTCGGGTCTACCGGGAGGGTTCCAGGTTCTAGGATGTTCTAGGGTTCATGGCTCTATGGTGTTTAGTGTGTGAAGTTGCAAAAGATGCCAGTTTGACGCAAGGCATGAGCACAAGAGACAGAGCAGGCAAGGGTATCAAACAAGACAAGACCTTATCATCGTTGCGCAGCCCAAAGCGGAAACCCTACCCACGACCCTACTTTTCCGGTGCCAACTCCAAGTTCCGACAGGAAGGACTGTTCTGGCGTGCGCAGCAGGAATGAAGGATCTACAGTATAGTGACAATCAGCACAACACCTGACTTTCTATGTCTTGTCTAAACCAACATCAGCAATGTAATGTTCAGTCAGCAGGTGCGTCTTGGGTTTACGCCTATATACACCGCTCAGCTGACTCAAACAGCACTTTGCAGTTTGACCAGTGCTTTGGGCTTTAAGGAAACGTGGTTTACCAAGAAGTTCTATCACTCACAGGGCGCAATGCAGTCCTGTGAGACCCTGCATGAAACCTGCCACAAGCTTTAAAGAGCTGTCTGAGTATGTCGGAAACAAGGCTGCAACATAAGATCTTAAAAACTTGCGATGATGTTGCTATGATTTTCCCTGAACCCGAAAACGAACAACTAGGATCCCAGCTGCAAGCCCGATCCCGACCCGGCCTGTAAATCCCTGGCTAATTGCCAGACTGGGAGCCTGAATGCAGCAAGCCCCAAACCCCAACTCTACAACACCTTTGAGCCCTACTAGTACCCCAATTACAACCCTAAGTCCTCTCTCCCAGGACTTCGACGGGGACTTCGTCTCGGACTGCCTCTTCCTTGGCGGGCTTCAGAGACGTAGGTGTCAAGTGTCAAGTGCTTCACGCGTTCAGCTCTTTAGGGCTTTAGGTTCGAAGCAAAGAAGGCTTCGGGTAGCACTATCGTTTACCGGAAATCAGGGTCAAGGACTTGGGGAATCCAGTGCGTAGGGCTTGTAAGACTTTGGGATTCTAGGACTCTTGTGCGCTTGAAAGCGTCTACAAACATCAAGACTTGATTTGAAAGCACAAATATCCGGCCTTGCAGCTTGCGAGAACTGTGGGTTCCGGTAGTGTCGTGGCTGGCCGTTGCAGGCTACGAGGCTCCAATGTGGGCTTCAATGTTGATACACACACATATATATATATATATAAAATATGTGTACCTATATATATATATATGTAT